TCTCTCTCTCTCTCTCTCTCTCTCTCTCTCTCTCTCTCTCTCTCTCTCTCTCTCTCTGTGTGTGTGTGTGTGTGTGTGTGTACATGTGGAGGCCAGTGGACAATTTCCGGTTAATCACTCTCCCTATTTTGTGAGACAGGAGCTTCCATTAAACGTGGAGCTTATCAGTTCCACTAAGCTAAATGGTTAATGAGCTCCAGAGCTCCACCTATTTCTGCTTCTTTGAAGTTGAGACCACAGGCACATGCTGTGGAAATGACTAAAATATACCCTGTCCAACTTGAGACCCATCCCAAAGGCAAGCACTAGTCCCTGACATTAGTGAAGATACTTTGTTATGCTTACAGACAGTAGTTTAGCATTATTGTCCTCTGGGAGTCTCCATCCAGCACCTGACTGAAACAGATTCAGAGACCCACAGCCTAACATTGGAGAGGGCTCAAGGAGTCTTTTGGACGATTTGGGAAAATGATTGATGGCCTCTGAAGGAAAAGGAAGAGCATAAGAAGACCATCAGAGTTAACTAATCTGTACCTTAAAAGACTCTCAGAGACTGAGTCACCAACCAAAGAGTATACACAGGATGGACAGAGGTCCCCAGCATATATGTACTACATGTGCTATTCAGTCTTCATGTAGGTTCCCCAACAGCTGGAGTGGGGGATGTCCCTTAATGTGTTGCCTGTCTGTCCAAAGTGTTCCCCATACTTGGCTGGCTTGTCTGACCTCAGTAGGAGAAGATGTGCTTAACCCCGCAGAGACTTGACATGCCATGACTGGGGGATATTCAAGTGGTCCCCACCCTCTCTTGGAAGAAAAAAGGAGTCAGGGATGAGATACTGTGGAAGATGGAATGGGGAGGGAGTAGTAATTGAGATATAATGGAATATATAAGTAAACGGGAAAAGTGAACAATACATATAAATAAAATAAAAATATACAAATCAGCCTATTATTTTAAATTTTGCCCTACTCAACATCTCAGGGCATAAGCCAAATAAGAAATTTTTTTTTTTTAGATTCTTTAAACCGTGTTTTGGATTCTTTAAACAGGTTTGATTCTTTAAACCACGGATCTTGGCTATGAGAGAAACTGTACCAAATACTGGAAACGGATTCAAAATACATACAGACTAGGACCCTGCCCAGCTCTCCAGGTGGCTGCCCCATAATTGGCTGTGTAAAGGTGCATTCTAAAGGTCATTCTATTTTGCTATCAGTTCAGCACCTTCAGGGTAACAAGGAATATGGTATTAATGGTAATTAATACCATTAAAATCCACAATGATTGGCCCACTGTCTCATTTTTCTAATGTAAAATGAGTTCCTTGGTCAGAAGCAATACTGTGTGGAATGCCATTGTGGTGAATGAGGCACTCAGTATGTCCATGGACAGTGGATTTGGCAGAAGCAATGTGTACATGAAAGTCAAAATCATAAGCAGAATACATATCTATTCCAGGAAAAAGAAAGCTTTGTACTTTGCCCAAGAGAAATGGTCCAATGTAGTCAACCTGCCACCAAGTTACTGGCTGGTCAACCCAGGATATAGTTCCACATCTAGGGCTCAGTGTTAGTAGTCTCTGCTGTTGGTAGATCTGGCACTCACCAGCAGATGTGGCCATGTCAGGCTTGATGAGAGGACTACTCTACTGTTGTACCCATGCATAAACCCCACGATGGCCACTATGTTCATGGTCCAATTGGAAAATAACAGATATAGCTGGGGACACGGCTGACTTCCTTCAGAATAGATCATCCTACCTACTTGATTACTGAATGTATGCTCAGCTGAACTTACCTTTTGATCAATATTTACATGGGACATAAGTATCTTTACATCCTTTGAGCATTTTGAGAGATCTATTCACATACTTCTTCCTTTTATGTCTTTCTCAACAATATTCTAATCCTTCTGTTTCCAAGTCTCGGACAGTAAGGCATCCCACTGTTTGTAGCAGATGATTCAGTGAATAATCACACATTTCCAAACAAATGTATGAACATGACTACTGCATGAAGCTCTGAACTGTGATAATTTCCCTTTAATGCTGTCTTTCAGGATTGTCCCAGAAACATGCTTTAGTGCTGCAGTTGTTGACTACTTGATGGGGTCTGTATAACAGGAAGAACCAATAGTAAAGCAGGACCTAGTTATTTCTGTCTCAGTCATTAATGAAAGGGCCTATACGAGGAAGCTCTAGGTACATGAATAATATCAGGGGCACTGTACAGGAATAGAAAGAATAGGCTTCTAGGCAACTGAGGTACCTAGCATTAGTTTGAAAATTGCCCCCAAACAACCCAAGCCATAACCCTAACCACAAACACTGAACCATGACCCCTAAAACAGGACCCCGACCCTAACCCCTGACCCAGACCCTAACACTAACCACCTAAGCCCAACACTTAACCCCCTACCTCCGATCCTAACCCCTAACTCCCTAACCCTAACCTTCAACCCCCTACCCCCAATCATAACCCCTAACCCTAACCTCCCCTAACCCTAACCCTTGACCCCTGCCTCCTTTCCCCTGACCCTAACTCCTAACCCTATTGTTAGGATTTTATGGACATTTCAATACAAAACAACTTTAGCATACCGTTTACAATCATAAGGCTTTTCTGCAATGTATGTTGTTTTCTGTATTCAGAGATAAGTGTGTAGAGCAAAGGCTGTACATTGCTTCCATTCACAGTGTTCCAGTGAATGGAAATATGAATATTTTTGTAATAATGAGAACTATAGAAATGTTCAAAGTCTTCTCCATATTCAATACATTCATAAGATTTCTCTCCACTGTGATATCTTTTATGCCTTCTGTCATAATTTGAATTTTATTGCTGTAAAAAAAATACCATGACCAAGGCAACTCTTATAATTGACAACATTTAATTGGGAGTTATGTACAGATTCAGAGGTTCAATGTATTATCAAGGCAGAAAGAATGGCATCGTCCAAGCAGACATGGTGCTGGAGGAGCTAAGAGTTCTACATCTTGATCTGAAGGCATCCAGAAGACTCTTCTGTCCTGGGTGGAGCTTAAGGATAGGATCTCAAAACCCAATCCCACAGTGACATACTTCCTCAAAGGCCACATCTACTCCAAAAAGTCCACACCTCCTAATAGTGCCACTTGCCATGGGCCAAGCATATTCAAACCACCACACCTTAGAAGATCACTTTGACCTCTAAAGGCTTTACCACATTGGTTACATTCATAGGGTTACTCTCTAATATGTGGGGTTTTTTTGGGGGGGGGTTTACTTGGAGGTGACCTGATTGTGAATAGGCTTTACCACATTTATTACATTTGTAAGGTTTCTCTCCAGTATAAATTCTTTCATGAGTTTGCCACAGAGGCAAAGGATTTACTACATTGTCTTTATTCATAGAGTTTAATTTCAGTATCTGTGATTTTATGTATTCGGAGACTTGTGTTACATACAAAGGTTTTAACATATTCATTAACATTTGTAATATTAACAAGGTTTCTCTCCAGTATGTTTTCTTTTATGTACTTGTAGGTTACCAGGATATGTAAAAACTTTGCCACATTGATTACATTCATAGGGTTTCTCTCCAGTATGTTCTTTTTTATGTACTTGGAGATGACACTGTCGTGCAAAAGCTTTACCACAATGATTACATTGGTAAGGTTTCTCTCTAGTATGAATTCTTTCATGTTGTTTACAATCACTCTGATTTTTAAAGGCTTTACCACATTGGCTACATTCATAGGGTTTCTCTCCAGTATGTATTCTTTCATGTTTTTTACGATCACCCTGACTATTAAAGGCTTTACCACATTGACTACATTCATATGGTTTCTCTCCAGTATGTGTTCTTTTATGGATTTGAAGAGAATTGTGTTGTACAAAGCCTTTGCCACATTGATTACATTTGTAAGGCTTCTCTTCAGCGTGAATTCTTTCATGCCTTTGAAGTTGACTATGATGTGCAAAGGCTTTATTACATTGCTTACATTCATAAGGTTTCTCTCCAGAATGTGTTGCTTTATGTATATGGAGACTAGTGTAATACCCAAAGGCTTTACCACATTGATTACATTTGTAAGGCTTCTCTCCAGTATGAATTATTTCATGTCTTTTACGTTCACGAATGCATGGAAAGGCTTTACCACATTGATTACATTTGTAAGGTTTCTCTCCAGTATGTTTTCTTTTATGTACTTGTAGGTTACTAGGATATATAAAACCTTTGCCACATTGATTACATTCATAGAGTTTCTCTCCAGTATGTTTTCTTTTATGTACTTGGAGTTGACACTGTCGTGCAAAGGCTTTATCACAATGACTGCATTTGTAAGGTTTCTCTCCAGTATGTGTTCTTTTATGTTTTTGGAGACTACTGTGATATAAATAGGCTTTACCACACTGATTACATTCATAGGGTTTTTCTCCAGTATGTATTCTTTTATGTATTTTAAGATAACTGTGTTGAGAATAGGCTTTACCACATTGATTACATTTATAGGGTTTCTCTCCAGTATGTGTTCTTTTATGGTTTGGGAGAGAACTGCTATATGCAAAGGCTTTACCACATTCATTACATTTGTAAGTCTTCTCTCTAGTATGAACTTTTTCATGTCTTTTAAGCCTATGAAGATGTGGAAAGGCTTTACCACATTGGTTACATTCATAGGGTTTCTCTCCAGTATCTGTTATTATTTGAATTTTGAGACTACTACGACATTTATAGGCTTTACCACATTGATTAAATTTGTAAAGTTTCTCTCTAGTATGTGCTCTTTTATGCTCTTGAAGATACCTTTGTTGTGCAAAGTCTTTACCATATTGAATACATTCATAGGGTTTCTCTCCAGAATGAATTGTCTCATGCTTTTGAGGATAACTGTGACATGCAAAGGCTTTATCACATTGAGTATATTCAGAGAGTTTTTCTCCAGTAAGACTTCTTTCATGCCTGCAAAGATAATTGACACATGTGAAGCTTTACCACAATCACTACACCAATGGATCGTTTCATCTGTAGGAATTAATTTTACAATTTTATCTGTAGAAATCAGTTTTACAATTTGGTCTAGTTGTAAAGAGGAACCATATCTTAAGTTTTATCACTTTGTTTGCATTCATGGTTTCCACTTCATTATGGGTTGTTTTGTGTCTTTTAAGGTATCTGTAATTATAATAGCATTTATTAATTACATGGCTCACATTCATAGTGTCCTTTTTCTCTATGAAGTTTTTCACATATTTGGAGAGAACTGGAAGAGCTCAGAGCTTTACCATACTGAGTACATTCATAAATTTTTCTATACTGTGAAATACACTACATTTGCAAAGTGTACTAGGACAAACAGAGAAGAATTTCCACATTCCTAGTACTCACGGGGATTTTCTGCAGTGTGAGTTTATGGATGCATTGCCAATGAAGTTGGAAAACCAACTAATTATAAGCTTGTATCACAGTGAGAAAGTCTACTTAAATGGGGAATACTACATGTCTTCTAATTGTTCTGGGAGTGGGGTATATTGTTTCTTTCAATATGCTCATATGGCTTGTATCCATTTAACAGGTATATCACATGATATACCTATTAAAAGAAGAATAACAAATTAAAGATTTCAACATTGCATTCACATAGTATGACTTTTTGTTCATCATAGATATGTAGTATATGGATTCTTGACTCTCATAAACTGCCTCTCTCACTTAAACTTAGCAGTGTTGCTACAAGTATATGAGTAACACCAGCTATACTATAGCATATTTGCTTATTAGAAACATATACTTATCACCATATATATATTGCAATATGTGAGTGGTATGACACTAAATAGATTGGCAGTTCTATAGAGTAGCTGTAATATGGGTATGATTCAAATGGCAATGTCTGTTAAGGCATTGTTTCTTTGTCTTCTTTTTTAGAGGAATGTCTTGCAAACAGAAATCAGACACCTGACATTGAGGTATGTGGATTTGTGAAAATGTAATAATCATCAATACACTTAAAGAAGTGCTTTTTTTACACCACTGCTTTTTTTTTTTTTTAAATTCCAGGACAGATTAACATTTCTTCAGAGGCATATTCATACCAACTTGTACATGAAAATTACCTTCCATGTCTTCTGGAACTTTGACAATATTCTTCAATATTATGCTCTTCCCAATTGCAGCCTAAAATACAGTACCAAAAACTGTATGATATATTACTGGAAAATAGTCAGATTTTAAGTTACTATCTTCAGTGAATCTGATTTATTCACCTCATTCTTCCTCATTCTTAATTGAAGATATAGAAAAGCATCAGTAACAAAAAAACAGTTGTTCCCTTACTTTAAAAAGTGAAGGAAAATTCACTGACTTACTTATAGCAGTGAGGTTGCTGTAGGTCTCTAGCATCACATCTTTGTAGAGACTCTTCTGTGAAGTATTCAGCAAAGCCCATTCTTCCCAAGTGAAGTTCACATGCACATCATCATAGGTCACTGCATCCTAAAATATCCCAGACATGAGTACAACACAAAGCATAATACTGGCATCATTGTAAAATAAATGTATGCTTCATTGATAATATATTCATATAATTTTGGTGCTTCCCACACTTATTTCTTGACCTAGAAGTTATAATGTCATCTTAGAAGGAAACTGGATAAATGAGATTCACCTCTGTCATTTCTTTGAATAGGATATAGCCTTGCAAGAGAAATGCCAATTAACAGATATAAAGAAAGAGAGAGAGAAAGACACAAACAGTACTGAACACACATCAGAGAAACTGTATAAATAATTACTAACTACAAAAACTGATGAGCAGAATGGGTGTATTGGCTCATGCTTTTAATCTCAGCCGTCAGGAGGCAAAGGCAGGTGTATCTCATTGAGTTGGAGGCCCGCATGGTCTATCCAGGACAGCCAAAGGTATATATTAAGTCCCTGCCTCCCTTGGAAAAACAATCAAACAAACAAACAAACAAGGAAGATAGAACTCAGAGGTTTTTACTGAAGTTCCTACAAAGAATTACACATTCACTCCAGTTCTGTATTCATCTTTCAGAATCCTGAAGTGCCTAAGTTTAAGCTGTAACATTAATGATATCTTATTAAAAGGGGATGCATGTTTAAACAGTTACAAATGAACAGATGAAAATATTAGCAATGTAAATATTAATTCTAATTGTTGATAAGAAACATATGGCAGGAGAGATGGCTCAGCAGTGAAGAGCTCTTGTTGCTTTTGCAATAATTGGGATCAATTGCCAGTACTTACAAGGGGGCTCACAACTATCCATTACTCCAAGTTCAGGCCACCTTCTGACTACTATGAGGACCAGGCACACATGAGGTGCATATTCATGCATAAGACAAAACACTCATATTCATTTTTAAAAAATCAAAACGAACACAACAGGTAGGAAGAATGCCATGCACCGGCAATCCAATTGAAATCTCAGGCAGTAAAACTCAGGCAGTATTAATGTCACGAATACATGCCATCCTGAGAAACAGAACATTCTTTCTGCCAAATTTCAAAATTCACAATGTGGATTCAACACAACAGCATATGCTTGACATGTACCAAAACCTACATTCTAGGCCTATCAGCCAATAATATAAAAACAAACAAACAAACAAACAAACAAAAAGCCAGGCATGTTGGTGCACATTTAATCCCAGCACGCTGGAGATAGTCAGGTGGACCTGATTAAGTTTGATGCCTGCATGTTCTACATACCTATTGTCAGGACAGACGGGGCTACACAGAGAAGCTTTGTCTTCAAAACCAAAACCAACAAAATTAAAAATATAAAAACACAAGGCTCACAAGGTAGCTTAGCACTGAATAGCAATTGTTTCTACTGCATCTTATGTGATTTAGGGATAGTTTATAACAGTGAATGTAGGATAGCATGAGAAGGAAGCTCACTGATCAGTTTCAACCACAACATAGTACACACATACACACACACACACACACACACACACACACAAACATACATACACACAAACCAGGAAATGCGTTGAGTCTATAGACATTCAAATCTCATCCCTGAGCTGGACAGTGGTGGCACACACCTTTAATCCCAGCACTTGGGAGGCAGAGGCAGGTGGATTTCTGAGTTCAAGGCCAGCCTGATCTACAGAGTGAGTTCCAGGACAGCCAAGGCTATACAGAGAAACCCTGACTCAAAAAACAAAAACAAAACAAAACAAAACAAACAAACAAAAAAAACAAAACAAACAAACCCTCATCCCTGATATGGAATCTAGAAAGGTTCCTCCTTCAAAAGCTTCTATAAGCTCTCCAAAGAAAGCCACAAAGGAGAGACAAGTGTTCAAAGACATCATCCTATCAGGGGGGCTTTGATTTGACTCAATCAATTACATTCTGACCCTGTCATTATAAGCTCATGGACATCCCATGATGTAGTTAGTCTAACTTCAATGATCCTAAGAGTCTGCAAGAACTTGTACACTGTTCAAATGTCCTAAGTCTCTTCTGACATTCAAGACAATCTCTGGATCACCACCACATCTTGTAAAATTAAAAAGCAAGTTATATCTTTCCTACATACAATGACACATACCCATTCCCATTCTAATGGGAAGTATGTGTACATAGTAAGGGAAGAAACCCATCAGGGCAAACAACAAATCCTGTAGCTCTGTCTCAGACATGTGGGACCTCAGTTTCCCTGCAACTCCTCATACGTCTCTCAGGTTAGTTACTTGCACTCCCTATGCAGCTCTCCACGGCAGGTGTCTCACAGCTTAGGTATCTCAATATCTTGTTGTCTCAAAATGGAACTCAGGCTTCATGCTCACAGGTTCATGCAATACACTCTCACAGTGTCCTCCCTCACTGGGGCTCTGATGCTGCCAAACATAGAAAGAATCGTGACCTTAAATTTTGCATCTTTCTTATTTCCAGAACTTGAGTGATCCTCCAAGGTTTGGATTCTAAATTGGAATGGACCCTGCCATGATTGGACTACAGCTTTATCAGGTTTTGTATGAAGTTCCTTCCTGGGTCTAGGAATCACTTTGCCTACTCCTTCCATTAATTGAAGGCTTAGCAGGAAGAAATGTTACCCTTAGGGCACCTTTTAGGCTTCCAATCCTGAGCAAAGGGACCTTCTCTTTAATGGAAAATATTCTCTCTGAAAATTCATGCCATTGTTTCAGCATTTGATTGATATTTGAAAGTACATACTGCTGTTTTCTTCTACAAACTACAGACTTTGCATTTATTTCTGCCCCCCTTGTTGCTTTTTTTTGTCATTGTAGTCCTGAAGGAGTCTCTAGTAATAATCACCCATTAATTCAATATTCCATCTAAGAATTCAGAACATTATTTTTAAATTCTGCATTACTCAATTATTCAGGGTATAGACAGAGTAAGAAAGATTTGGGGTCAAAATACCACACAAATGACCTTTAGCTAAATTTTTCATGGAGGCTATTTTCTACTGAAATCCTATGAACTCAACTTCTTCCAGGTGCCACAAGAACAGCTGCTTAAGCTCTGAGTACAGCTTTCTATTCTGTTTGCCATCTCAAGTCCTGACAGTTTCCATATTCCTCCAAAAGAGAACATCCTCAGGTTCTATCCAGACACAAAATCACTTTTTTGTGTACAACTTTTTTGTTCTAATTTGCTACGCTGCTGTGAATGAATCCTCTGACCAAAGGCATCTCAGGTAATGAATAAGTTTACTTGTTTGGTCCTGTTAGATCACAGTCCATCATTTTTGGAGCTTAGGATACAAACTCAAGCTTCAAGAAAATGAAGGCAAAAACCATGGACAAACATTGTTCCCTGCCTTGTCCTCTTGCTTGGTCACTATCTCATGCTCAGCTAGCTTATCAGCCCAGGCCCACTTGCTTAGGGATCCTGCCATCATTAGTGGACTAGCCTTCCCACATCAATCATCACTCCACACAATCTCTCACTGACACAGCATCCAGCCATTTTGATTAGGGCATGACCTTAAGTGAGGCTCCCTCAGATGACTGTAGGCTCTAAGATGTTGACAATTGAAGATACTCAGGACACACAGAGACAATAATATATTAGAAAGTTTTAAAAACCCAAATCCAATGTGCTAATCATATTGCTTAAGTAGAAAAATGCAAACCTTGATGATTGCAACAACTGGAAAACATAGATTTGCCAAGAGATGAGGAGAGGCAAGTCTTTAGGATCAAAAAGAGGAAACTAAAACTGTTTCTCCACAGAAAGTCCCCAAACTATAAAAAACTCAGGAAACTCATAGCAATATAGTAAATTTTCAGAAGAAAAAATAGATGGTCTATCATTTTCCAAAGAAACAACAATATAATTAGATTATAGTGAATAAAATCACAAATAAACGGAGACAGAAAGACAGACCTATAAGTCTTTTAAACAACAACTACAAGATTATAATAAAAAATTAAAGATATTACAGGCCAGCACTCTTCCCATGCACTCTGTTTCTCCTCTTTGCCAATAATAGGAAATAAATTGGAAGTGGCAAAACCCCAGTCAATTGGACAAAGAGGCAGCCTAAGGAATAGAAAAAGTTTTTCCCCCCAAATCCACATCTTATAGGGGATTAATATACAATATATATAAAGACTTAAAGAAACTAGAATTTTTCAATGTAAAAATTCCAATTTAAAAATGGAGTATATATCTAAACAGAGAATTCTCAAAAGAGGAATCTCAAATGGCTGAGAAAGACTTAAAGAAATCTTCCCCATTTTAGCCATCAGGGAAATGCAAAACAAAATGACTTTGAAAATTCATCTTATACATGTCAGAATGGCTAAGATCAATAATACAAGTGACAGCATATGCTGGCAAGGATGTGGAGAAAGGGGAACAATCCTCCACTGCTTATGGTAGTGCAAACTAATACAGTCACTATGGAAATCAGTATTTCCTCAGAATAATGGTTCCTAAGAAAATGGAGACTCCATCTACGTCAAGACCCAGCTATACTACTCTTGGGCATCTATCCAAACGGTGCTCCATCCTACCACAAGGATATTTGCTCAACTATGTTTATGGCATATTTATTCATACTAGACAGAAACCAGAAACAACCTAGATGTCCCTCAACTGAAGAACAGATAAGCAGAATGTGGTACATCTATACAATGGAATATCACTCAGTTGTTAAAAAAAAAAATGACACCATGAATTTACAGGCAAATGAATGAATCTAGGAAAAAAAAATCACCCTAAGTGAGGTAACCCAGACCCAGAATGACAGATATGATATGCATTCACTTATAAGTGGATATTATCTATTAGGTAAATAATAATCAAGCTATACTTCACAAACCCAGAGAGGTAAAGAGTAGGGCTACATAGGGGAGAAGCATGGATCTCCCTCTAGAGGGAGAAATAGAAT